CTGCCCCCCCGGCGGAGGCGAGCGGGGACCAGGGCCACCAGGGAGCAGAGCCAGCCCTGGGGGGAACGTGCCAGCCCGAGCACCTGCCCATGGGGCCCAGGACGCCTGGGCCCACACCCAGGGGCCTCGAGCTGCTGCCGGTTTCACTCGTTGCTGCCGAATTAGGGCTGGAGGCTTCGTGTCGCCGGGGCCCGAACGTGACGGCAATGCCCAACGTGGCCGTGTTTACCCGCGCGTCAATCAGGCGCGGGGCCGCGGCCGCCTAATTTTGCTCCCTTCCCTGGGGGCCCCGGCGCGCGGATGCTGAGTCCGAATCAAGGTTACTCATAATCCTGTGGCACACAGAGACGCTGAGAGCACATATATTAAAGTCACACATTGATTTATTTTCGCTGGCGCCTCCTTCCCCGGTTGCTCGGAGGCGGCGCGGACTGGGCTCCTGCAGCTAACGGTGTGGATGGGACCGGGACGTGGGCTGATGGGATGGGGGCATTGGGTGATAGGACAGGGATGTTGGGATGGGGACAATGGTGACGAGTTGGGGTGCTGCGTTGATGTTGGGTGATGGGATGGGGTGTTGTGTGATGGGATGATGTTGGGTGATGGGATGTGGATGTTGGGTGATGGGATGGGGGTGTTGGGTGATGGGACAGGAAATTTGAGTGTTAGGAGGTAGATGGGGGGCAGGACGGGGATGATGAGTGATGGGATGAGGACACAGGGTGATGGGACAGGGATGTTGGGTGATGGGATGATGACGCTGGACAGTGGGATGGGGACACTGCATGATGAGATGGGGACGTTGGGTGATGAGGTGGAGATGCTGGGTGATGGGATGGGGATAGTGGATGACAGGAGCATCCAGTAACAGGTTGAGGATATTGGATGACAGGACTGGGAATGCTGGGTGACAGGACAGGGATGTTGGATGAAGGGATGAGGACACTGGGTGATGGGTTGGGGACAATGGGTGATGGGAAAATGACACTGGGTGACATGCCAAGGGCCATGTGATGCCACTGTAATGTCCTGTGGCACATGCAGGGATAGTGGCACTGGGGGACATCCCACACTCCGTGCACTGACTGGGACACTGGTCACCCCACACAGGTGACAGGCGGCAGCGACGCTCAGGACACCGCGACGCCGCACGGTGACATCGTCACTCGGCAGCTCCTGGCTCCCGGGCAGACTGTCCCCAGCTCCCGCCGTCCTCGCGGGACATCCCGGGACGGGCGCCCGACCCGCCGGCAGCGTCGGCAAAATCCCTTCTCCACGGACAGCCCCGGCCGTGTCCCCAGCGGTGACCCGTGACACGTGGCCGTCCACCGAGCGACCGCACTGGCCACCAATTTGCAGCAGCCAAACATTTGGCCTCGACACCACCTCCCCACGCAAACAGACCCGGATCAGCGGAGGCAGGAGCGGGGAGGCCGCCCCGGATGCGGCCCCATCCATCGTGGAAGTGTGACGAGCTGCCCCGGGCTCAGCTCCCTGCGCTGCCGAGCGCCCCTGTGTCCACTTGGATCCCCAGATCCCAGGGCAGCGCCAGCTCTGTGGCCCCTTCCCACGCAGGGACAGCACCAAACGTCTCCGTTTCCCCCCAGAAATCCCACCCACGGCCCCGCTAAACTCATTA